CACGAAGCTGAGCAAAGGAAAAATTTCCTGCAGAGGATGAACTGGTTCTACCAGTAAAACACCACCAGCAGTGCTGTCATTACAAGCCCAGCATCCATCCTCAGCTAGTGGGAAGGTGCTGCATTTTCATGTGGTGGTTTTCCCTCTCAAACCCTCCACTACTGCAGGAGCCTCTGAAGAGAAGTGTTTTTCCTTCTCTCACCTCCCAATCCACTACACAAGGGTTTACTCCTCTGTAAGAGCACACTGTGCAAAGCTTGAGCTCTTCTGTGAGATTTTCATCTCCTCATTTTATCCATACCACCCCTTATATGGTATTTATCCTACCCTCTCTCCACTCTCGCATCCCTGCCATTCCCCAGCCTGGGAATCAGCCTGCAACAAAGCAATTCCCAGTCCTGCAGGACACCTGGCTGAAATGGGCCCCACAGACCAGAATCCTGCTCTGACTTCCATTCTTTCTCTTAACTGGCACCCAGCATTCATCCAGACAGCCCCAAACCCACAGGGAGCTCCCTCTGGAATTGCATCATCTCCCTCTTGCTCACTGGGGCCTGTTTCACTTTCCCAGGGACACAGGACCTATGGAAGGTGCATCCCATAAATCTCCAGCACTGGACCAGGAGCCCAAGTTAAAACTGGAGACTGATGTAACATTCTGCTCTACAAAAAACCAGGGCTCCCATTCTGGAAAGTCTAAATGAGAGCAAAGATATTATAAATTGCTACTAAACTGCCAAGACACAGAATATTTATATTACCAAGACTCACAGAAGCAACTGTATATTGAGTTATACATATTTCATGGCCTATTATCTACAAAAGCCAAGAACTTCATACAAGCACATCCACCCAGCAAGGCAGAGCTTGAGGTGGCACACAGAGCCTCAATCCTGGTCTCCAAGTGGCCTAAGAGAGAACCAAGCTCTCACTTCAGTTTAAAGAGTGACCTCTCAAGCCCACATCACCAAACCACCTCTGCACTGAACACCTGTCCAACTCCCAAAACTTTGAGATTCTTTATTCTCAACTGAATGGTTGCAGAGTTGCAACAAAACACCACAAAATTAATGCAGAAGCAAAATTCTCTAGACTATAGAATTAAAAAAAACCCTGACAGGCACACTGAGCTCCTGGCAGTCAGTATTTAAGGTCAATCCTTTTGTTTCTCATACATGGACAAATGAGATCATGTCCTGTTTCCTGCCTCTTCAAAAGCAGTTTCTAGTCTGAGCAGAGCTCTTCAAGATGAGACACCAAGTAGGCCAGGTGCCTCACTGCACAAGGAATAAAACTATTAAAAAAAATCACAGCCCCCTTCCTTCTGTTGGAAATATTGCTGTAATATAGCTATTTAATCCCAATAATCAGGGCAACAAGGAGAAACGGTCCTTCCTTGAAAATACTGACTTCAAGACCTTCCACCAAATAATATATTTACAGAACACCCACGTGAAACACAAAAAGGAAGAAAAACCACGATGCTCCATGTAGGGCCCAGCACCATGCTTTCTGCATGTCCCCTTCCTCAGCAAGAGGGCCCAAACTATTACCTTTTAGCCTGAAAATGATCTTTTAGCCTAAAAATCTTCAATCCCTGCATCCCTGGATGGTGCCCACTGCAGACCAGCTGCCTGAATTTCAGCCGTGTCATCTCAGCACGCTCACCCATCCTTTGAGCGCTATCCATGAGCGCACCCCCGGCTTGCCCACCCCGACCCCGGGAGCACAAACAATGCCTTCCTTCACTCAGCCCCGCACCGAACCACCCAAGAACCGCCTTTTACCGTAGGCGAGGAGTCAAAGAGCCCCGGATGCGGATTCCAAGTTGGAAAAGCGAGGCGCTCTGCCTCCAGCACCCGCAGGACAAGGCTGCGCTCCCCCCGCGCTCCTGCAGAGGAATCACAGCCGCGGAGTGAGCGCGAACGCGCGCAGGGCTCGGCGCCTTCCTCCGGGAAGCCCCAGAGAGAGAAAAGGAGGGAGAGAGAGGAGGGGAAGGGAGGAAGGAGCAGACCAAGCGCCGTTAAAAAAAGGAGAAAAGCGAGGGGCAAAAAGGAGAGCGGGAGAAGGAAGCAGCAGCCCCGCAGGAGCGGTCCCGGCACGGCCGCCTCTCCCGCCGGCCCCGGGCGCGGCCCGGGCCGTGCCCGGCGGGGCGCGGCCGGCCCCGAGCGCCAATGCAGGCGGCCCGGCGAACCCCGGCCCGGCCGCCCGGCGCCGCCGCCCGCCCCGCTCCGTCCGGCGGCGGTGCCGGGCCCGGGGCGCCCCTCACCCGCCGGCCGCGGGCCCGCCCGGGCGGAAGCCGCCCCCGCCCGGGGCCATGCGGCGCAGGCCGCCCGCCCGCTCCTGCCGGCGCCGTGCCGCCACGCGAGCCCGCGCTCCGCCGCGGTGAAGCGGAGGAGCCCCGCCGCTTACCGGGCGCGCTGGGCGGCGCTCGGCTGCCCGCGGGTCCCGGTGCCGGCGGGGCCGCTGCCTCTCCCGGCGCCGCCGCTTCGGCCGCTCGCACACAGGGGCCAAGATGGCGGGCGGCCAAGCCGGGCGCCAACGACGTCTGACGTCACCGCGCACAGCGCGAGCGGCCGGCCCCGCCCCCACGCCGTCGGTCACGTGACAGCGCCGTGCCGCAGTCGCGCGGGCTCCCGGGGACAGGAGCGCCCCCTGGCGGCGCGGGGCGGAGGGCGGGGCCGGGCGGAACCGGCCCTGTCCCGGTTCTGACCCGTTCTGTCCTGGTTCCTATCTCTGTTCCCATCCCGGTCCTGTCCCGCTTCTGTCCCGGTTCTGTCCCGGCCCCATCCCGGTTCTGTCCGGGTCCTTTCCCGGTTCTGTCCCGGCCTCCTTCCCCATTCTGTCTCGGTTCTGTCCCGGTTCCATTCCGGTCCAGTCCCGGTCCTGTCCCGGTTCCATCCCGGCCCCATCCTGGTCCTGTCCCGGTTCTACTCCGGTTCTATCCCAGTTCTGTCCCGGTTCTGTGCCAGTCTTGTCCCGGTTCTATTCCGGTCCTGTCCCAGTTCTATCCTGGCCCTGTCCTGGTTTCCATCTCGGCCCTATCCTGGTCCCATCCCTGTTCCCATCCGGCCCCATCCTGGCCCCATGCCGGTTCCCATCTCGGCCCTATTCCAGCCCCATCCCTGTTCCCATCCTGGCCCCGTGCTGGTTCCCATCTTGGCCCTATCCCGGCCCTTTCCCGGTCCCATCCCTCTTTCCATCCCTGTTCTTATCCCAGTCCTATCCCTGCTACCATCCCAGTTCCCATCCCTGTTCTCATCTCTGTTCCCATCCCAGCTCCATCTTGGTTCCCATCCTGGCCCCCATCCTGGTCCCTATAATTCAGGGTACCCTATAATCCTAAGGCTGCTGGGGCAATGTCAGGGATGCTTGCTTGCTTGGATTTGTCACTGTATGTGTAATTTATTATTGTATATCAATATATTAACATATATAACAATTCTCATCTACCTTATTTGTTGATATTTCTATCTATACAATGGGTAGATTATACATACACAAGGGCAAGAGTGCCCCTCTGCCACAGCTTGGGATCCACCTCACACACCCTGATAATAAACCATTAATAAAACCATCAGCAAAGAGCAGATCTGTCAGGTTTATTTGTGGCTCCCTCCTTCACATCCCAAGTTACCAGACAGAGAAGTAGCTCTCTTCAGACCGTTCATGTTTCATGAAATCTCAAGGTGGTATGGGTCTTGCCCAAATTTCAGGGAGCAGGGGGAGGAAGGCTGGCCTCATGCTCAGAATGGTTCAGGGTGAGCTCTCTGTGTCACCTTTGGTGGAATGTCAGAAGGAATGTTGTCACTACAGAGCATGACGCAGTGCAAAACACCAAGACTCCATCAGAGGGGTGCATAAGAGAGATTTTTTACAGCAACATGTGGCCTTTATAGTTTTTCAAGATATTTATGTTTACTTAACAGACACATTCACTGCCCATTGGTCATAAGAAAGAAACAAAATTCTCAATAGGTGAGCAAGGAGCCACGTCACTCTGTGAGCCAGCTCGAGTCCACATCTTTTAACTTCGTCCCTTCCATCACATTGTCATGGGGACAGCCTTGGTGTCTTCCTTGAGAGAGATACAGGGCTTTCCTTATCTTTAGGAAGCCTTTGCTGGCTCACAAGAACAGCACAAAATGCCTTTCCTACAGAACATCAGCAGGAGGTGGCTAGACACATATCTCCCTGATTTTTTAAGATTTTCTAAGCCTTCTGATGTTTACATTCTTGTAACAAACTTTCTTACACACTTTCTGTAAATAACTTACTGTTTTGCATTCTTTTATGGAGGAAGAGAAATTTGACAGACTGTTGATTTGACCAGTGTCATTGGGGAGGTGGCACTGTCATCCTCCAACCCACTGTCACTTTTAGAAAACTATAAATGTTAAGGTAAGAAAATAAACTTCCCTTTTTCTTCACTTTAGAGAAAAGAAGAAGCAGTGTGTGCACTTGTGTTGTTTCATGTCCTATAGTGACAGACACAGACAGCCCCAGGCTCCTGCTGGTGCCAGCTCCATCCCTCTGGCAGCACCTGGCTGTTTCAAGGCAAGGTGTTTTCCATTGCCATCTGTATGGCAGATTATCTTTTGTCAAGTGGGCAGTTTGCCTTATCTCTCTCTTTGAGTGACCACATTCACACCTCCCTCAGGAGGGGACATCTGCTGATAACAGACTATTGAATGTCACTGCATGGCTGATAAGAGCTACAGCATCCCATTGGGAGATGTGAGCCCAGAGGGAGGAGCCAAGCATTGCTACCCAGATATAATCCTGAGGTTTTGAGACACCAGCATGGCTTCTGCACTGGATTCCCCAGAGGAACAGCAGCTGCCTCTCCTTCCACTGGATCTTCAGAGGAAGAATACACCCTTCTCTACAGGATCCCTGCTCCAGCAGAACCAGCCCTGACACTGCAGGAGGGCTGCAGCCACATTTCCAATGGGACTGCCACCAACACCCTGACCCACAGGGTGTCAGGCTGGGTTCTGACTCTGTCAGTGTTGTTCTGGTGTACTGCATTGTTTATTTTATCCTTTATTACTTTTCTTTTCCCTATTAAAGAACTGTTATTTCCTGCTCCCATATTTTTTGCCTGAGAGGCCCTTAATTTAAAATTTATAGCAATTAGGAGGGGTGGGGAGGGTTTACATTCTCCATTTCAGGGGAGGCTCCTGCCTTCCTTAGCAGATTCCTGTCTTCCCAAACCGAGAGACTGGCACAGCTTTGCACCATGCCCACATCACCTGGCATCACATCTCTCCGTGTTCCTCCTACAGCCGGGGGCTCCAGCCTGGCTGGGGGTGTTTGGAGCAGAGCCAAGCTGCAGTGAGAGCTGCTGGCAGAGCCAGGAGGCACATCCAGCTCCAGCCCCAGGAGCTGCTGGAGCTGTCACCCAGCATCCGTGTCCTCAGGGGCCGCAGGGAGCGCTGCCACTGGGTGAGGATGGCAGCTCTGGCCCCGCTCCAGCTGCCCCTGCCCTGCAGCCGGTACTGGTAGGGGGAGCAGGGCCCAAAGAAGATGGCCAGGCCCAGCTGGGGGTCTGTCAGCAGCAGCCTCAACACGCTGGGCTTGACGCCGGCGCACGCAGCAATTTTGTCCACGTAGCTGATGAAACTCATCTTCAGGTTCTCCCTCTCAGACGGGTTCCTTTGATGGGACATGAGAAATAAAAGTCAGGTGGCATCATCCTGCTTAATTTCCCCGCTCCATGGGCAGCAAAGGCCTCAGGCTCAGAGATCAGGTGAGCCCCAGGCTCTAGGGCAGAGCTCTCTTAGCCCCAAACAAAGCCAAAAACACTGAAGGAGCCTCTGTGGGGTTGGTGCCAGCAGTTCCCCAGGGCACGGGACAAGCAGAAGCTTGTTTTGTCTCTGCAGCATAGTTGTGGCTTCAAAATCAGCTCTAACTTAACAGTAGCATCATTGTAATGCCACAGGCAGCCTGCTATGTCCTTCTCTGAGGTTCAGGGGTGTGGATTTGGCAGATTTTGAGAAGTAGAGATATAGACTTTCAGAGATAAGAATGCCAAGGGGAAATCTGAGAAATGCAGAAAGCTGCCCATGCTGGGAGGGACCTCCTAGATTTCTCTGCTTGAAACCTTATCTCCCTCACAGAAGGAAGGACGTGCTGATCTGCTTCAGGAAAGTTTGAGACAGCCTTAAGTTTGTTCCCCTTGCACCTCAGGCTTCAATATTTCTGTGTAACAGAAATTTCCATATTTCTGTGTAACAGCACTCTGGTGCAGTCATTGGGGCTCCTGGTCATAACCCCTGTGGCTCTGTTTTGTCCCAGCTTTTCCCCAGTGTCCCATGAGCCAGCCCTGGCAGACCCAACCCCGAGGTCCCCTCCTTGCTCCATCATCATCCATCCCCCATCCCTGTGGACACATCTCCACCTCCTGTAAAATCAATCCCAGTGCCAAGGAGGCAGGCTGCCAGCTCCCACACACACACACATCAGCCTGGTGGGACACTCACCTTGACCTGCCAAAAAGTGACACAAACTGTCCCCCACCCACACTGCCCAGCTCCAGGGGGGTTCTGGATGGAATCTGGATCACAGCTCTCCCCAGGGCCTGGATTTGGGAGGGAGAAGCCACGAGATGGCACCCTCAGTCTGGAGGAAACCAAACCTTCATCTGGACGTGCTGGGAACAAGGACATGGCTGGGAGGCCTGGCAGGGGGGGATCTCCAGAGAACACGAGAGAAAGGGAGGGAGCAAAGGAGGTGGGAAGGGAGGGAAGGGGAGCTGCAGGCCCTGGTCTTGTCATAAACTGCTCCAGAGAAGCTTATGGTGTCTTGTTCCATAAAGGAGCCACGAGAGCATTTTCCCAGCTCACTGTGGGTGGTGAGGTATTAAATGCAGAGTTGGGTGTGCTGAGCAGGTCCCTCCCATGTCTGCCATCGAGTCCCCCCCTTCCCTGAGCTTGTCCTGGCACACAGAACCTGTCTCATCCTGACTGCAGGAGCATCACACACCTTTTGACTGCTGGCTTCCTCTTCAAAACCTCAGCCATCATCCTGCTGGGGGGAGGCAGCTTGTTCCAGCCTGAGAACAGAGAAACCAGCAACTGCCCATGACATCAAAATAAATCAGAGTCTTGGGATTTTAACTCTTGTTACACTATGTGGTCTTTTCTATTTTGTATGAGGAAGAGATACCACGGATGCAAAGAAAAATGTTTTCCAAATGCCTCAATTTAATTTCAATCTGTACTTTGTATGAGCCAATTTGTTAAGTCTAGAAGGTGGTCTCATTAACTGATTTGAAGCTGGGTTAGAGCTTTATAGTATCTTTTCACTTTCTGAAAGCTTGAAGCCTCATTTAATTATGTCAGAGTTTTTAATTCTAGCAGGGGTAAACCTAGACAATATTCATAAGTATATAATAGTTCCAGCAGCACCTTAAGAGAACATTCAGCCCCTTCCCAAGATCCCAGCACTTTTCCTGAGGTGTGGGATGCAGCTGGTGGACAGAGGCTACCCATGGAGCTGAAATATGCCCTAACCTGTGTAGGCAGCAGCTCAGGCTGCCCCAAACCTCCCAGCCAGAAGATCTCCCCCATCTCCTACCTGCAAAGACCCCTGTGACCCAGCGAGCCTGCATCTCTGAGCCCACCATGATGGAGCCTGTCAGCTGGATCAGGCCAATGATGGCCAGCGTGGGCTGCTCCAGCTGGGGAGGGAAGATGCAGTTGTAGAGGGAGCGGTTGTCGTGGATGGTGCCCCCAACAGACTCCTCGAGGAAGGGGAAGGAGAAGTTGTAGCCCGTGGCAAAGAGCACCACGTCAATGTTTCCTTCGGTTGTGCCGTCTTCGAAAACAGCAGAGCTTTCAGTGAACTCCTTCACGTTGGGCTTCAACACCACAGTCCCAGAGAGGAGGCAGAAGGGCAGCTCTTCATTGATAATCATCTTAAATTTGGAGCTTGCAGCAGAGAAAAGAGCAGTGTTAGTATCTGGGAGAGACCTAAAATGACTTTTTTTTTACGGTCAGAATTCCTCTCCAATGGTTTGCTATTCCACAAATATCCCCCAAACCTGAAACTTAAGCATTTCATATTATAAACACCCCCTGAGCACCCAACAAAACAACCAGAAAAAACACCTTTTGCTGGAGGCCAAGCCATAGTTTGTGTGGTTGAACCATGAATTGAACTTCCGAAACTTGATCCTCCTTGTGAGTGCTGATGGGAGAAGCCAGTCCAGGAGGGAGTTGAAGCGGGTGGTGCTGACCATGTCCAAGGGGAAGCCGTGGTCTGAGACCCGGCTGACGACCCACGTGTGGCTCCTGGTGCTGAGGAACACCTGGGGGGAAGGCAGGTCTCAGCCTCCTGCCCAGGCATCTCCTCGGTTTTGCCCTGAGTGGCAAATCCCATCTCCTGCACTTGAGCTGACACAGAGTTACCCCAAGGGAAGGAGATGACATCCAGATGAACCAAACAGCTTGGGTGGCTTTGATAAAGTTCCCACAGCTGCTCAATGGCCAGTCCTCAGGTGGGCCAAAGCTTCCAGGAGTTGCAAAGCTTCTTCAACTGCCCTCAGTGAGAAGTGGAATTTATGGAGGAATCTGGGGGCAAAGCTCCCTCAGGTACCTTGAGCTGATGCCTCAGGTTTTAACTTATCTATTTTTCAGGTTCTGTGCTGCTTTAGTGTGGGGGTCTGGGCTCCATATTATGGGATGGTGAGCTCTCTTCACAGAGTAGGAAGACAAAACAATTCCTTCTCTAGCTGGGGACCAAGGACAAATGAACCAAATCTCAGGCCCAAGAGCACAAACAATGTGGGCCTAAGAGAGAAAACAAGAAGGATGGGACTTCATGGCCTGGAGCTGCAATTGCACAATTAACTCCAATATACAAATGGAGCAGAACTTGTAAAAGTGAGAGACCCCTTGACCTCTCGTGCATTTTGTGACCATTTTGAGTTGTGCTGCCCAAGGTGGATCCATTGAGGTCTCTTAATAAATCCCTTCTTTATTCTTTAACTCTGTCCAGCCTCTGTTCTTGGTCAGCCCTCACAAGGCATCAGAGCCACTGGCGCTCAGAGGCCCTGTCTGGAGCGGCATGGAGCTGTCCCTTGGTGGAGGCCCTGTCTGGGGCACCATGGAGCAGCAGAGACCCTGTCTGGGGCACCATGGAGCTGTACCTTGGTGGAGGCCCTGTCTGGAGCAGCATGGAGCTATACCTTGGCAGAGGCCCTGTCTGGGGCACCCTGGAGCTGTACCTTGGTGGAGGCCCTGTCTGGAGCAGCATGGAGCTATACCTTGGCAGAGGCCCTGTCTGGGGCACCATGGAGCTGTCCCTTGGTGGAGGCCCTGTCTGGGGCACCATGGAGCTGTACCTTAGCAGAGGCCCTGTCTGGAGCAGCATGGAGCTATACCTTGGCAGAGGCCCTGTCTGGGGCACCATGGAGCTGTCCCTTGGTGGAGGCCCTGTCTGGGGCACCATGGAGCTGTACCTTAGCAGAGGCCCTGTCTGGAGCAGCATGGAGCTGTACCTTGGCAGAGGCCCTGTCTGGGGCACCATGGAGCTGTCCCTTGGCAGAGGCCCTGTCTGGGGCACCATGGAGCTGTACCTTTTCAGCCACTCGGCTCAGCTCCACGGACAGGTCCCCACCGGTGTTGCCGATGCCAAGCACCAAGACGCGCTTCCCACGGAAAGCCTGCACGTCCCTGTACTCCCAGCTGTGCAGGTATTGCCCTTTGAAGCGACTTTCAATGCCTAGGCAGAGAGCAGGGAGCATTTCCTACTGCCAGATACATTTATTCACCCCAGGCTTGTGCCCAGATCATCTGCAGCCCCCAACTCTCCCCACTCCCACCTTCCCTGGCAGCTGAGAAGCCCATGGAAGTGCCCTGTACCTCCTCAGCTCAGTCTTGCTTTGCAAATCCTAAAGGAAAAGCCTGGCTGCACCCTTACAAGGTTTTTTTCCCATTCCCTGCAATGCCCCCCACCATTTCCATGGGGTCAGGGCCCTGCTTGCTCCATTGTGGGGGCTTCATGGAGCAGGCAGGCTCACAGAGCAAAATCCAACCAGGGATTGGGGGAACCAAATCCAACCATGGGTGCTGGGGGAACCCCACTGCTGGGACAGGCCTTACCTGGGAAAGAAGCCAATGGCAAGTAGGGCTCCTGGTAATGGCCGGTGCAAACCATGACAGCGTCGAAGACGTGGGACTCACGGACACCACGGCTCTCAGTGACCACCTCCCACCGGCCTGAGGTGCTGAAATCCGGGCATTTCCTCACACTGAGAACTGTGGTCTTGCACAGAAGCCCAAGAGAGCAGCAGTCAGGGATCATGGAGATGTGCCTGTGAAAGGCTGGGTCCCTGGGGAGCTGTGTGCCGCTTCTGAAGCTGTTAAAGCCCACCCTGCATTTCCCCTGGTGATGGCACTGGAGGGCAAGCCTGTGTGAAACCTTGGGCCTAAAGTCTGCATTCAGGACTCAAAAGGCCCTTGAGGGTTGGCACCCAGCCTTGTCCCATCCCACCTCCACTCTGCAGCTAGCCATGGCTCTTCTCCCCGTGGGTTTGGGGTCCCTGCTTGTTGGAACCCAGGACATTGCTCTGGCTGCCCTGGATGATTCCAGACCCTGGCAGAGGGCTCAGAGGCCTTGGCACAGAGTCAAAAACACCTGTGCCTTTGATTTTAGCCCATGGAAACAATTACCAACTTTGTGTGAAGATTTACAAGGCACAAGAGTTTGAGTAGAATGATAGTGAATTTGTCACAGGGTGAAAAAGAAGAATTTTGGGGATTTAGAATGGGGGTTCAAGGGGCAAGATGGAGGAATCTGGGTGTGTCCAGAGCTTCTTCTTCTTCTTGTCCTCCATCTTCTGCTGTGATGGTGACACTTTTGGATTGGTTTAGAGTAGAGACAGACTGTCTAACATAGGTGATGGGTATTGGAAAATTATTGTAAATAAAGTCCATGTAGTTAATAGTATAAAATGTTAAAACCACCCCAGGGGCAGTCACTGTGCCACAATCTGACCTGCTGGACAGATCTCAGCAGGTCAGAGAAAGAATGGAACAGATAAGAGAAAATAAACAACCTTGAGAAGCAGAACTGAGGAATCTTGACTGCTTACTTGATTGTGGGGCTGGGAAAAAAAACCTCTTTAACACCTTGGGAGCCATTCCAGCCACACAAAACCCAAGACCTGCTCACCTGGAGGCGAATGTGCCGCAGGAGGTCGAAGTGCCGGGCGTACATCCTGAGGTATTCCAGGACCAGGCTGTGGGGCAGGTAGTTGGGAAAATCCTCGGGGAAGGGGAAGTCACTGAAGCAGGACATCTCCTTGGAGGTGTTGGTGATGACTGAGCGGTACACAGTGATCCTCCTGCTGTCTGTGGAGTCCTGTGTGAAACCAGTGCTGATGTTTCCAGGGGGGCAGGGGAAGACTTTCTCCCCATCAAGTATATGAGTATTTTTCTTCCTCACATTTTGGCACAAGGAATAAGCCAGGACAAGCACCTGGAGGCAATCATTACTGCTCCCTCTGTCAGATTAAGCTCTTTTCTGACCCAGAGGTGGGGCAACTGAGAGGCATTTTAAAGCTTTTATTCTATTTTTAGTCTCATGTGAAGGATGAGACAATACAGATGTTATTATTCACTCTATCACAATCAGAAGCCAACTAATTCTTAATTACAATACACTATAGGCCAAGCATTTCTTGGCCTATCTTGGCCTTGGTTTTTGCCACACCTTGCTGTAAATGCCTTAAAGCCAATCATCTAAAATTATCCCTCATGGGTCTTACTACAATGCATCTTTCATTGTTCTATTTCTCCAAAGTATTTAGTCTTATTGGCAAGGCTATCCTTTGAAACTTATTTCTAGTTCCATTTCTCTCTCAGCAATGCCTATTCCATGGCATTTCTAAGTCAGCATTTCTTATCTCAAAGTTTACATACAGATGCCCACCATGTGAGCCTTCTGCCAGGGTTTGAGAATTCTCCACAAATCCATTTCCCACATTTCCCTCTCTCTCTCTCGAACAGAAAAAACTTCTTTGATGGCTTTTTTTGTCATTTGCAAGTGAAGTACACAAGGCACAATCACCAACATTGTCACTACAACAATCAATGCATATAAACCTATTTTGCAAAGCTCCTTTATCTAAGGTGCAAAACTCCATCCATTTCCCACCCCCTCCATTTCCTTCTCCATCTTGGAGTCAGGAGGAGCCCCAGGAGTGGGACAGGGACAGTCCCTGAGGGTGTGGCCACCCTTTCCTCTTGGCTGCAGTCCAAGAGCATCCAAGGAAGGGGATGAGAGGAATGGTGGATTTGTCTTTACAAACAAGCTGTGGGTCTGCTGGTAGATAAAACTAGCACTGGGAGAGAAAAGAAACAATGGGAAGGATTCCACTGATTGATGAATGGAAAAAGAGATTTGATTTTACAAATAAACTTTACAAATAAACAAATGGAGAAGAAAAAACCCTAAATTCCATAAGAATTAAAAATTAAAAGGGAGGGTTATACATTAGAGGGGAATCTCTGGTATCCCAGGTATTCTGGGAAGTCTGAACCTCTCAAGTACCTCAGCCAATGGAGAAAGAGAGAAGGGAAATGTGGCTGGGAAATTGGGATAAAAAGGAGGCTGTGTCCTTCAAATATTGGAGAGATCCCAGGGGAATGCCCCATGGCCTCTGCCTTTATTGGAATAAAGTAAAAGGGCTCCTCTGTCTCCTTTAGGACATAAACCTCTGGTGTCTATGGATGAATTTTCCTGAGAGGAACAAGCCCGGGGACAGACGCAGGGGGCACTGACCGTGTAGCGCCAGACGCCGCCGATGTCCTCGCTGCTCTCGAAGCATGTGGGCTCCAGCCCCTCAGCCAGGCAGCACTTGACAGAGGCCAAGCCCCCAGCCCCAGCTCCAACCACGGCCACACGCTGGACCATGGTGGCCTGCAGCGGGTGACAGGCTGGTGTGACAGCAGCTGGAAGCACAACAGCCCAGGGATCAGCAGAAACGCCACTCCCTTCTTCCCATCCCCACAAAAACACCCCATGTCTTCTCTGCTGCAGGTGTCCATGAAGGAAAACTGTCCTGGGAGAACCCCACAGCCAGCTGCTGCTGCAAGTGCTGTGCACAGATCCTGCTCATTCCCCTCCCAAACCCACTCTGGGGGTCCAGGAATCTCCCTCCTCCATGGAGGGGGAACAGGAGGCACTTTTAAACCTCGCTGTTCTGCTGCTTCAATTTCTTCTCTTTTCCAGCCCAAACCAGGGCATGCAAAGAAGTTGCAGCTATCTTCTTCTGCCTGAGCATTCTGAAACCTTTGGGAGAAGCAACTCCAGCTAAGCTGGCTCGTTTTCACGCTCTCCTTTTTAACTTCCCATTAAAGAGCAATCTCTTGAAAACAAAAAGGGTTTAAAAAGAGGGAAAAAAAGCAAAGCAATGCCTGACTGAGCAGGAGCAGGGCGCAGCCATTCAGCAGTTAGACAGCTCTGTGAAAGCAAGGCTGGGATTACAGGATATACAAAAGGTAAAGAACCCGGGAAACGCTGGGGATAAATGGGAGGAACTCAAAGCTGGGGTGTGTAAACTGAGCTGCACAGAGCTTGCCTGGAAAGCAAAGAAACTAAGAAAAAATGAACCCACGTGAACTTTGATTAGATAAGAAAAAATTGCTACTGCAGGGTCTGCAGAAAGAGTATTTTATAATTTTTTCTATCAGTTTTGTGTCAAAAAGTAAGTTAACATAAATAGAAACTGGAGGAAACTGAAGAAAGCCAGGGAAAAATGAGGGAGGTGCAAAACAACCCCTTTGGCATCCACAAGCCTGGCCTGAGCCACTCCTTAATCTGCAGGAACAGGGCAGGACATGCCCACAGCTGCCTGCCTCGTTTCTGGAGCTTTCCTTGACTTCAGGAAAGGGCAGGCAAGCTCAGGGTGCTCAAGCCACCCCACTTTTCCAGGTCTGCCTGCAGATGGATTTACTCCAGAGGGTCCCTGCAACACCCCTCTCCCCCCACCAGCAGCAAGGCAAAGCCAGCAGTGAATGCCAAAACCCTGGAGAGCTGTCTGCCCACTTTTAAACCCTGCCAAAGCCACCCAAGAGAATTGAGGAGCAAACCTTGCAGGACAGCGCTGTGCCTTTGCCGCTCTGCCTCTCCAAATTTCCCTTGAGTTCCTCCTCTGGCCGTGGATTGGAAGGGAAGGCTGAAGTCCAGGCACAGCCACAGCTCTTGCACCACTGACCTTTACACCTGCATTCCCCCGCCCTGTGGGCTTAAATGCACTGGAAGAAAGTTCTCAACCTCCCTGTGGCAGTGCCAGGTGAAAATTCAGAGCTAATCCCGAAGGGAACATGCTTGCAAGGACTCCCACGCTGTAACTTGTCCCTGCCCCAGGCCAGGCAGCAGCGTGGGGCTTTCCTGATCCTTTTGTGGTGCCTGTGCTGGGCTCTTGATTCCTTGGCATCCCCAGGAGATCAGCAGAACACGCTCCCTTGGCCAGCAGACAGCGTGGATGTGGGACATGGAGCACTGTGCAGCCTCATTTTGGGGAGGCAGGGAGAGCCCTGAGAGCCCCAGCCTTGTGAGCTGCCCACAGCAACTGGTGGCACAGCCCCCACTCAGACACAGCCTCTGTCCCCCAGCTCTTCCCATGCACACAAGAAAAGCACAGGGAGGCATCTGCAGCACACTCCTGCCACAGCCACTGAGATTTTATTCATTTAAAGTCTCTCCACGCACAAAACAAAACCTCAGGATTGTCCAGTGTTGGGGCACACAGGGAAGCAAAGGCAGGAGTGCTCAGCCCCACAGGCTCCTGTGGGACAAACCTGGAATCTTTCCAAACAACTGGAAAGATGCACCAATTCAACCCCAGCTGGGATTTTGGGGTTTCAGTGTTTAGGTTTGGAGAAGGGACAGCCTGACCTGTGTGCACAGCCCAGGTAATTCCTGTGATAGATAATCACAGGAATATTTTCCCAGATAATTCTTGCTCCTGTGACACACCACCACTTTTGCTGGTCTTGTCCTCTCTGCATCCTGTCTCGTGTGATGCAGGCACAATTGTGGCACCAATCCCTGCTCTGCTCCTGGCAGCAGGCAGGGGAGCAGAGGGGCAAAATACACTTGGGCAAGGCTGCCATCCCTGGTTAATGAGGCCTGCAAAGCTGGGCTTGGGGCTGAGCTGGAGCAGAGGGAGGTTTATGCTGCAGGTTGCAGATTAAAGTTTGTTGCCATCTACTGAAATCCTTTTCCCTAGTCCCGTGGGGCTGTCTGACCTGAGATAAAATCCCTCAGGACAAAAAAACCAACCCAAACAAACAATAAACAAACAAAAAAGCTATAGGAAACCAAAAATCACAGCAGCCAGGAGCAGAAGGAATCCCACCACAGTCAGGAGAGACAGGGAAGAGCTGGAGGAGCCAGCAGGAACTCGTGTTCTGGTGGGCTTCAGGACACGGTCCCACTGGGTGAGGATGGCCTGCCGTGCCCCCTGCCAGCGCCCAGGACCCCCCAGCCTATACTGGTAGGGGGAACAGGGCCCAAAGAAGATGGTGAGAGCCAGCCAAGGGTCTGTGCAGAGCAGCCTCAACACGCTGGGCTTGGCACCAATGAAGGAGGCCAGGGTGTCCAGGTAGACCAACCACTCGGTTTTGAGGACTTCATCAAAGGTCAGACCAAACCTGAATGATCAGAGAAGAGAAAGAGGCAGGAGGAAGATTGGTGTCAGCAGGGCTTAGAGGAGCTGGGGTGGACATCCTCTGCATCCTTGGTGTTATTGCATCTGGAATATGACTGGGTTCCCTAGGAAAGGACTGGATGTAGGTGAGAACGTGGGACACAACTCCTGGCCACCACACAGCTCCTGTAAAGGGATGCTGGCTCCAGTCAATCTTTCTCTTCCTCACTCACAAGTTGCACTTGTTCCTCCCCTTCCCCTTGGTGAATCTTTGTTAACAGACTTTGGTTAACAGTTTGGGGTCTTTTTCAAAGCAGGCAAACAAAAAACCCCTCAAACCCAAATCCCTTTGCTTTTTGCAGAAAAGTCGTGTGCAGCATGAGAAAGGTGGCACCCTTTAGTATCCCTCACGTTCATTTCCACCAATATTGCAAGAATACACAGTGGCTTGGAGAATTGCTCCCAGTTCACCTTCTCTGCAGAATTCATAGCTTCATGTCCCACCTTCAGAGGTCTGCAAAAGCCCATACCCACTTAGCCTTGTATTGTATTCTGTGCAATTCTGTACTTGACTCTCCTACACCTTTTCTCCTATAGCTATTTAAGTGAGCCATGGATTTATCTATCACCCAGTTTCCTGGGATTGGCTCATTCATTCCCTAATCCTTTTAAGCTTTTTGCCTGCCTGTGAACCACACACCAGTGTGCTCAGACACCTGTTCACAGTGAGTTAGGTCTCCATGTCTCCATGCTGTGAGATGAGACAATCTCAGTGTATACCTCGCTGGTTGTAGGTTGGCTTTCCCCCCCCAAGCTGAATTACTTTGCATTTATTTCCATTAATTTCTCTGCCATTTTATCTCTCAGTCCGTGGGGATCCTGATGTTCTTCCCCAACTCCCAAGCAAGCTTTTGCCTTGAGTACACTGAATTAATTTTTTCCTGTCACCAACAGGCAAAATATCAGTGTTAAATCAAAGGTTACATTGGCTCTTTGCAAGTGAGTAAAGGGGGAGCTGGATCCAGGAATCCTCCCCAAAAACTCCAGAGGTTTTTCAATCCACCAAAAAACCTTTGGGGCTCTGGGGAATGACTTACCATTGGATTTGGTTTTTCTTCTTCTCATTTACTTCCTTCTCCATGACAGCCTGGGGAGGCAACTGACACAAGCCTGGAAGAGAGAGTGTTCTTCAGAGTTTAACTCCTGGAGGGAAACTGTGAACTCACTCAGTGATGCAAAATGTGGGAATCCCTTCCCTGGGAGGGCAGGAAACTCTCATTGCAGGCAGTTTATTTGGCAGTGCTGCAGTCCTGCCCAAAACCAGCCCTCGAGTATTCCAAATTCACCCACACCTCCTCCTGCTCTTACAGATGTGTGCTATCAGGGCACAGGCAGGTGATGTGGGGGCAGATGGGCTGTGCAAGCCCCAGAGAGGATCACCCCAAAGAGAAACCCCAGAGCTTCTCATCTCTGGGGCTTAGTCCTGACCTAGCTCTCCACGAGGTTATTCTTACAATTTTTATTAAAAACCCCAAACAAAACACCAGTAGGTTTCTTTCCTCACTCATGTTGCTGTAGCTTAGCTGAGGTGAGATAACCTGGGAAATCTGAGCCTCAGAAATGCTCCCTCATCCACTCTGAACTTCTTAGCTCTGGGATCTCCCTGGGTGAAGGGACGAACCATGTCCAGTTTTGTCTGAGCTGCATTTTGGGGCACAGGAGGGCTCACATTTGCTCTCCTACCTTTGAAGACACGGCTCACCCAGCGTGCCTGCATCTCTGCCACGGGCATGATGGCTCCAAAGGGCTTAATCAGCCCAAGGACAGCCAGGGTGGGCTTCTGCAGCTGTGGTGGGAACACGTATTTGTAGAGGGACGCGTGCTTGTTCTCCACCCTGACGATGGATTCTTCCAGGAAGGGGAAGGAGATGGTGTAGCCCGTGCAGAAGACAACGATATCGATGGGCTCCTCCTCAGGGCAGTTGTGGAAAAGGACTGAGTTGTCCTTGAACTCCTTCACACCTGGCTTGATGGTGATCCTGCCTGTCAGGATGTAGCTTGGGAGCTCGTCGTTCAGCACGGGCTCCCGCACCAGCCAGCTGTGGAGAGCCAGGGCCTCTGAGAGTGGGGCACCACAAACAAGCCCTGCTGCTCCCCTGCTCCTCCTCCCACCAGCTCACACCTCTTGGTGTCGTTTTCTCTGAGCAAACAGCCCTGCCTCCCACCTCCAGGCAATGACAGTGTCACCAATGTCACCCTGTCCCACGGCGGGAGTGATTCACTGACATCTCCTGCCATCTTATTCCCCTCACTCAGTTACTCTTCAAATCATCTCTTTCCAGAACTTTAAGCTTTAAGCCTTCCTTCTCCTCTTTACCCAGAGACCCTCCTCTGGGCCTTCCTGGGCTTTTCCAGCATGCCCTATCTTTCACCACTTAAGGGAGCTACAGCTTATTTTCTCCTCCCCACTGGAGATCACCCCAGTCTGGGCATTGGTTGATGCTGGTTGCTGAACATCTCCCCCTGCCCACACCACAAGCCCATCAGCATGGGATGGGGACCACCAAGAATACCTGTTCTCTGGCTGAAGGCCATAGTTTTCATGGTTGAACCACTGGTTCACCTTATAATTAATCAACCACCATGAAAGGGGTCCAGGCAAGTTGGTTTTGATCAGGCTCATCAGGCGAGTGTTTAAAATCATATCCCAGGGGTAGCCATGCTCAAACACACGGCTGAGCAGCCAGGCTCCTCGAGTGGTGCTAATGGTCACCTGCAAGGGAAGAACCAATGCTTCAGGTGATGAATTTGCTGCTTTTCCTTTATAAAGAAACTCAGAGGGGCACGGCGCAGCAACAGCATCTTTAATTTCTCCTGGCTGCTGATGATGGAGGTGAAACAGGAGACAAGAACAAAACCAGCTTGCTTTCAAGGTAGCTTTTTGACCAAAAAATTCAGGCTCAGAAAGACTGTTTGTGATGACAGCACACTGAGCTACTGTCCCCTGTTACTGTGATATTTTATGAAGAATCCCTTTGCCAGGATTTCTTCTCCTGGGAAGCTTCAGCTTCTCCATGTTTTGCTCCTCGGGGATGTGATTTGGAGAATTGTTTACCCAACATGTGATTTGTTTTTAACTAATGGCCAATCACAGCCAGCTGTGTCGGACTCTCTGAGTCTGTCATGGGTTTTTATTATTCATTCTTTTCTAGCCTTCTGATGTCTCCTTTCTCTTTCTTTAGTATAGTTTGTCACAGACATCTCTTATGAAAAATCCTTTCCTTAGGATTTTTCCTCCTGAAAAGCTGAGAGGCCTCAGGAACAAAAGTAAACAATGATTATCTGCTGTTGTGGAATGCAACAGGTGCATCTGGGATTGGTCTCATGTGGTTGTTTCTAATTAATGGCCAATCACAGCCCAGCTGGCTCGGACAGAGAGCCAAGCCACAAACCTTTGTTATCATTCTTTCTTTGCTATTCTATTCTTAGCTAGCCTTCTGAGGAAACCTTTTCTTCTATTCTTTTAGTACAGTTTTAATGTAATATATATAATAAAATAATAAATCAAGCCTTCTGAAACATGGAGTCAGATCCTCGTCTCTTCCCCAACCCGAAAACCCCTGTGAACACCGTCACAGATGGCACTGGCACAATAGTTTTAGTATATAATTTTCAAATAATATATAATAATATAATATATAATAATAAATCAGCCTTCTGAGAACTTGGAGTCAATTCTCATCTCTCACCTCATCCTGAAACCCACAACACCACCACAACAATGAATAACCACAGTCCCTAGTGTCCCTGTCCCCAGAGGCCGGGGGTGGCAGGGTGGTGGCACCTTTGCAGCGACCCGGCTGGCTTCCACGGCGATGTCCACTCCCGAGTTGCCCATGCCCACCACGAGGACACGCTTGCCCTGGAACACGTCAGGATGCTTGTACTGCCTGCTGTGGAAGTGCTGCCCTCGGAACCTCTCGATGCCTCAGGGGAAAAACAAACAGAGCTCTGAAGCACTCCAGCATTTGTGGATTTTGTTGGGAGAACTGGTGTTAAAAAGCAACCCAGATGATAAGAGCAAAGAGTGCAATTTCTGGCTACCAGGGTCTCAGGGAGGTCCAGCCCTCCATCCCATGCACACAGAATTAATTGATGCTTCCTCTCCAAAATTGGGTCTCAGAGACAAAGCTGCTGAAGCACGGGACAGTATTGCTGTTGATGCCAGCAGGTTTGGAAAGCAGAAGCAAGAAAAGAAAGGGAGGATTTTCCCTGAATAACCCCTAAATCTTCCCTCCCCAGCCCCTGAAGCAGGTAACAACATTTCCTTGTATACCATACCAGGAAAACACTGCAGGGGGAGGGATGGCTCTGAGAAATTGCCGCTGCAAACCATAACAGCATCAAAGACCTGTGATGTCTGCTTCCCCTCTGCCTCCGTGACCACATCCCACTGGCCCGTGGTGGCAAAGTCGGGGCGCTTACGGATACTGACAACGGTGCTCTGAAATGTGGTAGTGAAGCAAATCACTGTCACCGTCATATTTTCTGGAAAAATCCCTTCGCCAGGATTTTTTTCTCCTGGGAAGCTGAGAAGCCTCAGAGAAAAAGGAAAACAATATTATCTCATTTGCTTCTCTTGTGTTTTGCTGCTTTGGAATGTGGTTGGAGATTGTTTATCCAACAGGTGATTGTTTGATTGGTTTCACGTGAATTGTTTTAACTTAATGACCAATCACAGCCAGGCTGTGTCGGGACTCTGGAAGGACTCACGGGTTTTCGTTATCATTCCTTGTAGTCTTCTGTCTGTATCCTTTCTCTATTCTTTATAGTTTAGTATTAATATAATATAATATAATATAATATAATATAATATAATATAATATAATATAATATAATAATATAATATATCAGCCTTCTAAGAACATGGAGTCAGGTTAATCAATTCCTCCTCCGATGAGGACCCTGAAAATACCACAAGTGCCCACGGGCACCCAGGGTGGGTGGGGAGCAGGGCAGGGTGGAGAGCAGGGGCATCACTCACCCCAAATCTGATGTGCTGCCTCAGGCTGAAGTGCTCGGTGTAGCGCTGGAGGTAGTCCAGGAGCAGGGCATTGGGCAGGAACACGGGGAAGTGCTCGGGGAAGGGGAAGTCAGAGAAGGCAGACATCTCCTTGGAGGTGTTGCTGATGACTGATGGGTAAAGGCTGGGCCGGCCGGCCTCGATGTGCTCCTGCCACGGCAGCCCGGGTGCATCAGCCCTGTGCCCAGGCTGGGCACTGTCCCCCTGCTGCCCTGGCCTCTGGGGTGCACCTCAGCACCCAGCAAACCCTCACAGCCACTCCAGCCACCCCACAGCCCTGCAAAGCTGCAGCTGCCAGAGGAGGTGAGGATGGCCTTAGTAGCTGGTCTGCAGGCCAAACAACTGAGCTAACAGAAGAAGAGATATCACTGTCATATTTTGTGAAAAATCCTCTCTGCCCAGGATTTCTTCTTCTGGGAAGGTGAGAAGCCTCAGAGAAAAATGTAAAGAATTATCTGATTCGTTTCTCCTGTGCTTGGCTGCTTTGGAATGTGGTCTGGACATTGTTTACCAACAGGTGCATGTTTGATTGGTTTCATGTGAATTGTTTTTCTTAATGACCAATCACAGCCAGCTGTGTCAGACTCTGAGGAGTCAGTCACAAGTTTTTATTACTCATACTTGTTAAGCCTTCTGTCTGTACCCTTTCTCTTTCTTTAGTAAAGTTCTAGTATAGAACTATAATATAATATAATATAATATAATATAATATAATATAATATAATATAATATAATATAATATAATATAATATAATAATAAATCAGCCTTCTGAGAACATGGAGCCAGATTCCTCATCTTTCACCTCATCCTGGGGACCTCACAAACACGACAAAGAAATTGATAAAATATGAGTTTATCCATAGCAAGGAAGAAAGCAAGGCTGTTAGCATGGAAACCAATAAAATAGACACAAAAGGGATATTTACAGTTAGAGGATCCATGCCTTAATAAGCAGCCTCTGTTTAATAATAATTTGTTGTAAATAATAATTAATAGCTTGTCGTAAACTTAAACTTAATAATTTGTTGTAAACTCTTACCAATTAATTATTGACAATTATATAATATGAAATATAATATAATATAATATAATATAATATAATATAATATAATATAATATAATATAATATAATATAATATAATATAATATAATATAATATAATATAATATAATATAATATAATATAATATAATTTGTACATGCTTTGTACAAATAAAATACAATAAGCTATTGCTTTGTCCAATGAATATAACGAGCTGGTTTGATGTAACCAATGACTTTAGGGGTATAAAACTTGAGAACAACTTGCAATAAAGAGGAAGCTGTTGTTGTCACTGCACAAATGTGTGTGTGTATGTGTGTGTGTGGTGTCCCCATCTCTCAGTGGCAGGGAGGAGAACATGTCCCCTTGTCCCCTTGCTCACCGTGTAGCGCCAGAGCCCCCCGATGTCCTGGCTCTGCTCGAAGCAGGTGGGCTCCAGCCCCTCGTCCAGGCAGCACTTGGTGGCTGCCAGCCCGCTGACCCCCGCGCCCACCACGGCCACTCTCATCCCTGTGGGCTCTGCTGGGCTCCCAGGAGCTGGAAAAGAACCCCACAGATGATCATCACTCTCTCAGGGGGCAGCTCCTGGTATGCCTTCCATAGGGAACTTCTCTATCTGCTTTTCCCAGCTTTTCTTTTCCCAAATGTCATTCCATTTCCCAGCATTCTGGGCTCTTTGTTTATAAGTTAGATAAAATGTCTTAAAGAATAATTTTCTTTTATTCCCCCTTTATTTTAAAAAATCTCTCCACTTTTACAGTGTGCTCCCTGGGCTGCTCCCAAACTCCATTCCATTTCCCAGCATTCTGGGTTCTTCATTTACAAGTTAGATTAAATGCCTCAATTAATAATTTTCTTTTTTTCCCCCTTTTTTTTTAAAAAATCTCTCCACTTTTACAGTGTGCCCCCTAGGCTGCTTTCAAACCCCTGCAGCTGCCCTGGAAAACTGGCTTGGAAAGAATGTAGTTGAGCCACAATTCACTGCCAGTTTGTATTTACAAGCTGGGTTTAAACTATCCCGCCTTATCAGACTAGCAAATATTTGTATTTTATCTTTGGATATCTGCCTCTGCCTCTCAAAGAAGAAAAAAATAAAAAATGCACTGGAATTGAAAATGCACTTTATTTTATCTTTGGATATCTGCCCCTTCCTCTCTCAGAAGGAAAAAATAAAAAATGCACTGGAACTGTTCAGTTTGTGCCTCTCTGGCAGGGTCCTGTCCCTGGTGGCTGCCTTTGACACGGTCATTGGGGCTGACAGAGGGGCTGCAGGTGTGGCACACCTTGGATTGAGGACGATTTTGTGTCTCCTGCAGGGCCTGAAAGGCAACAGCCCCTGGGTTGGCATCCAGCCCTACAAAACTCCCAGTGGGGACGATGGATCCTAATCCCTGGCAGTGCCAGGCAATGAAACAAGGGATGAAGGCCAGGCTCTGTGGCTTGGGCTGGACAATTCCAGAGGCAGGACCCTCACCCAGGTGCCCTGGGGGTGCTGCTGCCATCTGTGGTTTAACCCCAGGGCTGGAGGGAGCCCCCTGCTCAGATGAGTGATTAGCTCAGCATGGCGGGATGTCACTAGGGGTGGCACCAGCCCCTCTGGCCTGACAGGGGCTTTCAGCTCCCACCAGACACAGAGGGTGGTGTAATCATCAGGAAAAAGGAAAACAAAAACAGTCTTCAGTAAAAAAAATGGGGTTGGACACAGTATTTTTTAAAACCCACCAAGTTCTCCAGAATTATTTCAACTTTCAGACATAAAGCAACACCTAATGAATACTCTGCTTTGCCAGGTTGGAACAAAACCTGGACTTTTCCCTTTATAAATCAAGAAAGCACTAGCAGGACCTGCTCTTGGGGGAGACTTTTTTTTTTTTTGCATGGTGGGAACTAACTTATATCACAAACACCTCCCAGCTACATTTGCTATTTGATTCCCAACCTTCTCGAGGAGAAGCTACAAATAACAACCAAGAAATACCAATTCTGCCACACTTTCCACCCTAACCCTGCAAGCAGCCAAACTCAGAAGAGCCCAGGTGTGGCACAGGAAGGGAAGAAAAGGCTTCCCAGCCCTCTGGAACACTTACCTCCAGCCCCAGGCAGCTGTGTGTCACCTCTGCTCTGGGAAGGGAGGGTCCCTCTCGCTGGGATTTATAGCGAGACAGGAGCTGGGCAGGGGCAGGGAGGGCAGGCAGCCACCCCACTGCCAGAGCATTACACAACTGCTGTGGGAGGAGTGGCTGCAGTGTCCTGCTGTCCCTGCACAGCCCAGATGTGGCTCCCTGCAGGGAGTGGAGCGATCCAGCTGTGCCCCGTGGTCGTGCCAGGGGCACCTGTGGGTGAGGGGGCAGTTCCAGCTGGGGGATGTTTTCACTTGCTCCATGTTTTCATTTGCCAAGAAGGGGCTGAAGCTGCAGATGAGCAGCAGGGGTTTGTCAGGGCTTTGCTCCCAAGGCACCTCTGAGGACAGAGCTGGGCTGGTGTCACTGCTCATGGGGCACAGAGGCCACGCCAACGGTGCCAGGGCTGGGCAGGAGGCTGCCCCTGCCACCTGAGAGAGCAGGGAATGGCCACAAAGCCAGTGTACCAAGGTCCCCTGCACACAGGAAGGGCTGAAACATCAGTGCAGGACACAGAGCCCATCCAGGTATCTCCCAGGAGTAAATGATCATGGAAATGATAAGGGTGGCTTTGGATATTCAGATATTCAATATATTTAGGGGTGGCTGGGGAGAAAGTATGAAATCCCTGCAAATGAATCCAGCTGGGCATGGAGAATATAGAAGCCATGGATGGACAGTTGATGGAGGACTGGGTCTTTAGGAAAAGCAGTGTTTAGAAAAAGACAAAGGTATTTCTATCATGGGGGTGACAGCAAAATTCACAGAGTGAGTGCAGGGGACACAGTCAGGGCTGCCAGCCCCATTGAGATCTCACCTTGTCACTGACAAAGACACTGCCAGGGCATTGGCCCCAGGTTTGGTACCAGCTCTTTTAGCAGTTTGAATAACCAAGGAGTCCACGAGGGAGGAGGACAAAAACCCATCCAAGGTCTGCAAAACAGAGGGTGGTAAATGAGGCATCACTGAGGTGTCTGCTCTGGCCCTGTATTTTGGTTTGCAGAGGCTGAAGGGATGTGTTTACCAAAAACTGGACCCTTCCCCAGGTGCACCTTGCTCCTGCAAAGATGCTCACCAGCACTCAGCAGAAAAGAGTCAGGAATCCACTAAGGCAAATATTCTGTTCTTTATGTGCTTCTGCTTTTCTTGAGTTCCTCAGCAGGCATTCAAGTGAGTTGCACTTAGAGGGATGCCATGGCAGCACTCCAGGAGTGGTGTTAGTGCTTTTAGGAGGGCAGCTCAGGGAAGCTTTCTGAAAGAACAAGTTGTTTTTGGCAAAGAGGAGCTGCTGGTACAGAAATGGGACCAGGTGCCTTTGCTGCAGCTGCTGCCAGTAAGGCTGGCCCTGATTCTGGGGAGTAATCCAGCTCAGAGGTGCAGGGCTGGATGCAGTGAGTGATACCATGTGAGTATAGGGTAGAAATACCTCCAAAACCTCAATAATCTGCCTTAGGGCTGTGGTGTTCCCCTCCATACATATCCCAGGCCAGGGTCTGGGCCAGGTGTGCAGAACAAAGTATCAGAGGAGATGGAGATGAGATAGCAGAGAGCAATTACTGTAATTATGCACACACATGCCCAGGGCACTGCAAAAGCCTTGTCAGAAAACACAGAGACATTCTTGCTCCTTTACTCACCTCTGCTGGGCACTGCAGCCCTGGCACAGCTCAGGAGGAGCCAGCAGCAGTGAATGTCCAGAGGTGGCTGAGGATGAGAACCAGGAATGGGAAATTCATGTGCCTGTCCACTGGTGAGCCCCTTATCCCCTTGAGAAGCAGAGCTCCCCAGCACTGTGGCACAAACCTGGGCTCTGTAACAGCCTTTTTAATCCTTAAATCAGGAGGAAAGAGAAACTAAATATATCCATTCAGTCTGAATTAGGAGGGAAACTCACCTTGTCTGCAAAACTCTGGCACCGGTTTTACAATTTCTGTTTAAAATGATACTTCAGGTCTAGGAGGGGCAAATTTCTGCACAAACAAGTCTCAGCACAGCCCACTTTGCTGTTTTCTAGGTTTGTTTCAGCAGCTTCTGGCATGTGCCATGCTGAAGGGGGAAAAGAAAAAGGAAAACAAAAGTGGAGTTTCTTGTTAAGCCGGTCTCAGAGCAAGGCAGCTGCTCAGGACCTGGAGGGATGTGAGCTTTGGGCTCATCACTGAAGCACTTCACTGTCCCCTCCCCAATGCTCTCACTGCCTCCCCCAGTGTCCTTTAGAGGCTTTCATTGACATTCCTGCCCCAAAGCTGCCCCCCCTGCTCGCTGCAGAGCTGCAGCACAAGGCCATGCACAGAGTGAGGGAAGAAGCTGCTGCTGGAAAAATGAAAAATGTATTTCCCCCCCATTTCTTGAAGCCTCGATTTTGATCTCTAAAAAAAAAAAAAAATAAAAAAGCTTTTCCTTCACTTCCAAGGCCAAGAGGCATTTTCCTGCTCAAAACCAAAGAAAACTCCTGACCTGTTTATTATTCCCAGACACAGAGGATAATTCCAGTGACAAACACTGGCAGGACACTTCTGGTTCTGCTTAAACTGAGCTGGATATGTTCAATATCTTGAACTTTTCCTGAAACCTATCAAAAGGTACCATTTTTAAGGAAATCCAAAGGATGTATTGGAGCAGACATGGGCTGTAGAGTGACTTTGGGAGAGGGGTTTACTTGTTAAGCATGGAGGTTTCTGAAGTGTTTTACTCCAACATTCTTGGCAAAATTTAACCTGATTTAATAAGTCACCATGTTTTCCAGGCATGTAACCTGTGGAATTTCTCAAGAGAAGGCTGCTGGTTGTTGAACCTATTGTGTTAATAAATCCTGCAGAGCTGCAGGTTTTAACTTCATGGCTTTGGAGTTTTTCAAATGTACATTTTACATCTTCCCAAGCCCATGGACATTTACACCCTCCCTTTAGCACCATATCCTTGAGCCAGGACTCAGAGTGGATAAACACAGGGAGATGCCCCTAGGAAGGATCTCAGCTCTTCTGAGCCATTCCTCAGTGTCAGGAGGTCTGTGCCTGATATTCCCCAGGCAATAAACCACAGCTGCTGGAGAGACTGGCACAGCAAACAGCACTTGAGGAAACTCCTTAGCAGAACAATCCTAAGAGGAGCTGTGTGGGGAGCACAAGGTTAATGCAGGCACAGCCTGAGCAGGAGGTGCCTTCCTACCACCACCAGCAGAAATCATCCATCAGCCTTTGAATGCCTTCAAAAATTCTACTCAGTGCTGAGCCTCAAAAATTCCACTCAGCTGACCCTCAAAAATTCCACTCGGTGCTGACCCTTCCCTTAAATATTGACTGAGCTGCCAGGCCAGGCACTTTGAATGCTTCCAATTCCTGCTGCCTCTCCCAGAGGCTGGGCACTCCTGCCCCAGCACAGGGACACAGCTGAGATATTCCTA